CCATAAAATAAGTTAAGTGATCTCTTTTATTCATTTTATGTAACACACTTTTATTTTTAATTTAATTTTCTTAAAAATAAAATTTTTGTTATATCTAAAAATAATTTAATTTTAAAATCTTCTTTATCCTTAACAACATGATTTCACAACCACATAAATGTACACCACATATTTTAGATAAGAATTTCAAAAAAAAAAACTTTCTTAAACTCCCTCTTCACTCTTGTTAGAGTGGACTGAGGAGTCATGTTTGACAGAATTTAATAACTTTTGACTCAAATTAATGATGTTTTAAAATCCACTCAATATGCCTAACTAAACTATAAAAAATTCACTAATGATAAGTTGTATTTCAAAATTCAGAATCTATAATCTCAAAATCCTAACTTCACTCCACAACCCAACACTCTCACATAAAAAGTTGAGGATATTGTCAGTGCATACAAATTAAACGGAGTACACTTACATGGGGTGCAATCCTTCAATGACAAGAATCTTTGGAGGCTTAATAACCTCAGGAGGATCAAGAAGACCACTAACATGATTATAAATAGGTTTATCAACAGCAACACCATCTTTAATAGCTTTAACTTGTTCATACATAAGGTCAAAATCATTAGCTCTAGGATCAAGAGCAGTTACCCCTTTTTCTTTTCTACCAGTTCTATCAAGTGAATGATAATCATCAAGACAAATAACAGTTGTCATGTCTGATATCAATGTGTTTGAATCTGGATTTCCACCTTTTGGTGGTTCAGCAGCACCACCAAAAACACTTGTTAATCTTCTCATAAATGTACTTTTACCACAACCAGAGTCAGCTGCTAACCCAATTACAACTGTTTTCTCAGCATCAGAAGCAGAGCATGTTATGACAGTGTTTCTTGATTTGTTTGTTGATCTTTTTGTGAAGAAAATTACTTGTTTTTGGTGAAATCCTAAGTGGGATTTTGATGGAGTTGAGATTGAACAAGATGAATTGAGTGATTGAGCAGTGTACACTGTACAAACTGCCATTTTTTCTTGATTTTTTTTCCTCTCTGTTTCTTGAGAGGTTTTTGAGATAGAATTATGGAGGAGGCTCTTTTTTTTTTCTCACTGACTTTCTGATAGATTAATGTGTGACATGTAATGAATGAATGGGCATTTTTTTAATTTTTTTTTTGGTTTTTAGGATATTTTGTTCTTGGAATTAGGAAAAAAATATGTGAGGCTTAGAAAATTTTGTAAGAAGTTAAGGCTATGGTTATGGTTAGAGGAAAACAGATGGCTGTTTTGTTTGGATAGTGAAGTGTGTTGATTTGGATTTCTATGTCTACCCTTGGCTTTGGAGGAGGTAGTATTAAGTTACTCGAACTCTCTTAAAATGTTGTTGTATTTGTATCGAACTATTTAAAAGTAGTATATTAATTTTTGAGAATTTAACACACATCTGTCAGCATTTTTGAAGAATTGAGTTAGGAATTTCTAATTGGTATACACTGATATACATGAATTATACGTCTGACGACAGATTTTAGGATTCATTCATTAATTTACTTTTCTTTTTTAGCCGGTATACATTGATATACATGAATTATACGTCTGACGACTGCTTTTAGTTTAAGCGGTTGGGTGGTGGACGACTATTTAGGTTAACTATTTTAGATAATTATTTTAAGGCTAAGAATAGAGAGGACATGGTTGTAATTTTAAATTTTGTTTAAGGGTATAATGGTCATTTTGACTTGAACTACCCTACCCACACCCCCCACCCCACATACACTATTGAATAAGAAAATATATTATTTTTCTTGAATTTATTTATTCATTTATTCTGTTAGAAGGATTGAAGATGATGGGCTAGCTGATGATGTTAGTGATAGATAAAGGAATGGAGAAAAGCTTTGGTGGTGATTTATTTCAGTTTGGATATTTCATAGGACACGTGGCAGAAGGATGATGGCATAAAAGAAGATAGAGGAGAAAGAGGGGTGTGGAGGAGAATGTGTAATCCAAATTCAAACAACTTTGGGTACTACTTTTGCTTTGGATTTTTTACTTGATATTTTTGTACCTTTGGAAAGTTAATTGGGAAGATTTTAAGTGGGTGAATAAGTTATTTTGAAATTTTTTAAAGGTTGGATTATAATGTATAATTATTTAGTAAATATATTTTATTTTGTTGAACTAAAATTGAAATATATGAATTTTACAAAGTATACTATATACTATATAATATGTATTCAATTTGCACTAGATAATTGAATTTGAAGAAGGTAACTTTTGTTATTTTGTTGTTTTATTTCGTGATTATTATTTTATATTGGTATTTTATAAAATATATAATAAGTATAGTATAAATAATTTTGAAATTGCTAATCTGAATTAAAAGTCCAACCAAATATAAGATAAATAATTTTATATTTTTATTGTAAAATCCATTATAAGAATGAAGTTGTGACAACTTTTAATTTTAAAAATGGAACATAGAAAAAATTTCTTTGACTAGAAAATAACTCAAGTGCAAAACAAAAGTAACAAAAAGAGGAGCTACACTACATAAGGATTACAAAGTTTGATAAGGCTAAACTTAGCTCATAGTAAGTATTTATAGCTTACGTAATTAGAAATTACTTGGCAATACTATAAATCTAATTAATCGCGATGTCAAATAAAAGAATTTCAGCCTAAAATTAATTTGATATAATGTGCTATATTTTTCCAAAACAAATTGTGTGCAGTCCAATTTGCTGCTATTATTACTCCCAACATTAGTATGAGTTCGTTCTCAATTCAAATTTAAGTAATTGCATGGGAAAACTTGGCCTAAAACACTATTATTTGTATATTAAAAAACATTAAATACAACAAATAAAACTTTAAGTATGATATGAAGTAATTCAAACTAACTAAACTTTTGTTAATTGATTTAAGTATGCTGCATTAATTTAACAACCCTCCAATTTTGACATTCTTTTTTAGTGTGATAAATACAAGAAATTTCACTACTAAAAGAAAGAGAAAATAATTCATGAAATTAGAAAATAAAAGGGGGAAAAGGAATTTTCAATTTTCAAGAATTAATTACGTATAGAATTTTAGATTAATTATATTAAGTTTTCTAAATTTAGATGATCTTAGTAACGTCCTATTTTAGCAAGTTTCTTATTTTGTCAAGATAAGGATTCCACTCCTACATCTGAAAAAGATTCTTATTTTGCCCGATAATACAAATGACAAAATGAGTTAATAGTAAGACGATCTGGTGTATAAAACATCCCGTGTTAATAGAGATTTGGGGAAGAATCGCACTCTAAAGGATGTGATGTAGACAGTCTATCCTAATGCAAGTAGGAATATTATATAGTGATAATTTCCATAGTATAAACCTATGACCTATAGATCGTGAGGTTACTTTACCGTTACTCCAAGACTCACATCACCTGACAGAGTTTAACAAATGAACAAGAACATTAAAACTTCCTTACGTTGCCCCCCTTTAATTTATTTGCTTAGATCATTTGCAACTATAAGACATTCCATGAATTTTACCTATTTTAATTTTTCTCGTAGCTTTTATATGTGATTTATGATGGAATGAATGTCAAAGAAAGTTTATTTTGAGAGCTGACTTGTGCATCACAATTGTGAACTCTGGGTTCGCAATTGAGAAGTTTGAGTTTGAAGTGTTGGATTTGTTTCTTTTATGGGATAATTTTCTAACCTTAAATTAGTTATTTAATTACTCTACTAATTTCGCAAGTATTTCATGCTTTAATCCATGGAATTAAATGGAAAATTGAAGTTTTAGCTAGGCATAGGATTCATAGAGTAAGAATTCATGATTTAGGGGTCGAATATCGATCCGTCTTAGCTGAAATTTGACGTGTAGGAGTGGTATGCTATGGATTATTATAATTTTGAAAGGAAAATCTAGATTGAACTCTGATGGCTCGAGGTGACGTATTGATCTGATTTCAATATATCACTCTAGAAAAAGTCAGTAATCAAAACTTGTTGAGTACACGTGTTTTTTGTAAGTACTCTATACTTATTACACTTCTTTGCATGCATCAATATGCATGGTCTAATCTAGGTACTAACAGTACTAGAGTTGCTACGTGGTTCGAGTTTGTTGTTGTTAGAGTTCCATGTGAACTGTTTTCTCCTCAACAAAACTATATTTTATGTCTTATTTTCTTATAAACATATAATTACATCAACTTTTCCAAACTTACGTTGTATCCGTAGATGTTCTTAATTCTTATACTAGTATCCCCGTGAGTTATTTTGGATTTGATTCTTGTATTTTGCACTTGTGATTTATCAGGAATAATTTATTTCGCTACGAATGTTGGTAGATTCAAATTTCCTATCACAATTTCAGACCATTCTATTGGATGGATGAATTGGTCGTTAAATATTTATATATTATATGTATATCCTATAAATATTTGTCTTTTATTTTTACTTTTGAATAATCACGTATAAATATTTCACAAAATTTGAAATTTTGATGTTCCAAAAAAAACAAAATATTTACATTTATGTAGGTAGTGTTTACGTTAATTAAGCCAAATATTTCTACGTATAAATATTTCACAAGTTTAAATTTGGTGCATAGAGCAGGAAATTATCATTTCCAGTGTCATATATGGATTCTGTTTTTTGGAAATGTAAAGTTACCAAAAAAAAACAGCACGGAATCCTTTTCCACATCAAGTTTGGTAGTGGCCCTTTTTCCAATTATCAAACAAATCATAAAGTAAAAAATCGAACCAAAGTTACTAATTGATCAAAATTTGAAATTCCAAAAATTATTTACTTATATGTAGATAGTATTTTCCCTTAAACTTGTTGCATATAGGAAATTATTTCCGCGTCAAATATGGATTTTGTTGGAAATAGAAAGTTATCAAAAAAACAACCGCACTGAAGTTATAAACAGCAGTTGCTTCCTCTTTGTTATTATTCACAAATCATTATATTACAAATTAGTATTAGGAATAATACTTATTATGGATCAATGGAGGAAGCTTCGCGTTCTTGATGCAGGATTTTTCGAAAAAATATATTATGCTGTCAACATCCATCCTTCTTCTTTTTTATCTGCTTCTGTTGCTGCTGTTAAATGTGCTGATATGCACCGTTCTATTTCACTCCAACAAGAAGCAAAAATCTTGATAACTCTCAAAGATTCTCCTTATGTGGTTCAATTCATTGGAGCAGACGTTAGCATCAACAATGATAATATTTCAACTTACAATCTGTTTCTTGAATATGCATCTGGTGGATCACTCCATGATTTGATCAACAATTACAAGAGAGGAATGAGAAAGATGTCAGAATTGGAAGTAGGTTTCTATACATATCAACTCTTAAAGGGTATTTCAACACGTACATAAGAAAGGGTGGGTTCATTGTGATATTAAGCCTGCTAATGTTTTGGTCTTTGATAATGCTGAACGTGGTGGGATGCACAAGTTGAAGTTGACTGATTTTGGATTGTCGTTGAGAGTTCCCAAAGGAGTGGCATATATGACTGGAGCTACGTTGAGCAATCGAGGGACTCTAATTTACGTGCCTCCAGAATCTTTGACCAGTGGTTTTCATGGCAGAGCTTATGATATATGGTTGCTGGGCTGCACCGTGACAGAGATGATGACTGGGAGTCGTGTTTGGATTTATCGCAACACTAGAGATTTGCAATCACAGATTATGAATGAATACCCTATGATTTGGGGTAATGTTTCTGAGATGGCCAATGATTTTTTACACAAGTGTTTGATAAAGGATCGTCTAAGAAGATGGACGTCGGAACAGCTACTCCAGCATCCATTTATTCAGCAAGTTGTATGTAGTTGGATGCCTGAAACTCAGCGGAGGACAGCAAGGGTCAATCCTTCTGGTTGCACAGTTTCAGTACCTGAGAAGCATTTATTACTTCATCAACTAGTTTAAGGATACAATGAGATTACAAAATTAAGCACTTATTGACTGCTGCTGATGTATTAATATTTTACAGAACACAAATTTTGTATAATACTATTTGGATATTGCATATATTTCTAATAATAGTGAAAACAATTGCTTGTTCCTATCTAGATTTAATTATTTTCTGTTTAAGTAAACTTAGTTATGCTGGGAATAAAACGTTGTTATGTCTAATGAACGACTTATATGAAAAAAACTACTCTTAATATAAGAACTGCAAATTATCACTCAAATAATATTGCACATCTTGAATGTTAAGATATTTAATTGTTCTATTGTTGTTGAATGGACCAATATTGAACACCGTATTAATGCAAGTTATTTATATAACTGAGCAGCTGCTGATATTTATGAAGCAAACGCAATAGGGTTATTTTTATAACGCTTACATATCCCACATTGGAATGAGAGAAAATGCTTAGACAGCCGAAAGCTGCTACATAAACGGGTGCCTGTTAAGTTGTTAAAGCATACCTTTCTCGGCCTTTTGGCTAAGATCAAGTGTAGTATCTGTTCTTATCAGTTTAATATCTGATATGTGGACCATCGGTTCACACGATATTAACTCAATTTTTTAAGGGGAAGAGTCCATTAAGGTAGCTTGCTACCTGGGCTCTTGCGCGTCGCCCATGTGTTGCACTACTGCACGGGCCTGGCGTACCCCACCAATTTTAGTCAAATATTTTTTATCAGGAAATGTTTTAATCTGTTTTGTTACTCAAGTGATACCATGCAAATTAAGTTGGAATAGACAATAATGAATGCCACTTTACGATCACTAGAGGAAAAAAATTAATTTGCTTGTAGCATCAATCCATTATTGGATATTTATTCGTGTTGCAAGAACGAAAGATGTGTAGTTTGAGAAATTAGTAATGGAAAAAGCACAAACTGAGATGAAAGTAAAATGTACTGATAATAATCGTTCAAGTTCTCTCCAAAAAGAAAAAATCTTGACAACTCTCAAAGGTTGTCCTTACGTGGTTCAATTCTTTGGAACAGACATCAACATTGACAATGATAATATTCCAATTTACAATTTGTTTCTTGAATATGCATCCGGTGGATCGCTCCAGGATTTGATAAACAATTCCAAGAGAAGAATGATACAGATGTCAGAATTGGAAGTAGGTTTCTATACATATCAACTCTTAAAGGGTATTCAACACGTTCATAAGGAAGGGTGGGTTCATTGTGATATTAAACCCGCTAATATTTTGGTTTTCAATAATGAACATGGTGGGATGCACAAGTTGAAGTTGGCTGACTTTGGATTGTCGTTGAAAGTTGGTGATAGAAAGACATATATGACTGGAATTCCGTTGAGCAACAGAGGAACTCTGCTTTACGCACCTCCATAATCTTTGGTATGTGGTATTCATGCCAAAGCTTATGATATATGGTCGTTAGGGTGCACTGTGGCAGAGATGATGACTTGGAGATCGCGTTTGGATTCATTGTAACACTGAAGATTTGCAAGAGAAGATTATGAATGATGAAGTCAACCCTGAGATTTCGAGTAATGTTTCTGAGGTTGCCAAAGATTTTTTGTGCAAGTGTTTGATAAAGGATCCAGTAACAAGATGGACATCAGACCAACTACTCGAGCATCCTTTTATTCAGCAAGCTTCATGTACTGCGTCAATGTCGATGCCTGAAACTCAAGAGGTTACACCAAGGGTTAATCCTTTTATAGTTGCCAAATTCCAATCCCTCAAAAAGGACTTCATCAATGCACTCTTTAAAACTAATTAATTTTGCAGGATACAATGATTGACGATAGTGTATTACTTTCTACTATTATTAAATCTATAGTGTTCAAATATAACACAATGTAATAGTTGCTTGTAATATACCAAAAAATAAAAAGTTATACAGTAGTTGTTTTGTTTCTTTTGAATGATGTTAACTAGATCCACTTATTTTACCATCCCCGCCATATCAATGTCCAACAATAAAATGCTTGAATTTAAAGATTTTATCTTCCCTTTTAATTGAGAGAAGGACTCGGAATTGACTTTCTGGTTTGATATTTGAAAGAAGGGTAGAGAGTGCTTCAAACGCAGAGGATGTAAAGAAAGAATTACATGAGCGATTCACTAAGGTACATGGCTCAACAACATTCAATTTACATCAAGAAATAGCCACTTCATCCTGGGAAACTAAATACTTTTATCGATTCATGATAATTATTGATCAATGGTGACCACTGAGTTGTTTTACGAAATTCATATTCTAATTATGGTAATGAGAAATGGTTCTGGCGAGTGTTATGTACATAGATCCTAACTTTCCGACAGTATTAATGCAAGTTATTTATATAATTGAGAAGCAAAGGCAATGGTGTTATTTTTGTAAAGCTTACATCTCCCACATCGGAATGAGCCAATGTGTAGACAGCCTAAAGGCGCTGCTACATAAACGGATGCCCGTTAACTTGTTGAAGCATACCTTTCTCGGCCTTTTGGCTAAGATCAAGTGTAGTATCTGTTCTTATCAGATATGTGGACCATCGGTTCACACGATATTAACTCTATTTTTTTAAGGGGGAGAGTCCATTAAGGTAGCTTGCTATCTGGGTTCTTGCGCGTCGCCCATGTGTTGCACTATTGCACGGGCCTGGCGCACCCCACCAAATTTAGTTCAATTTTATTGTATTTGTTTGCCCTCGTCTGTTTTGTTGATCATTTTATGATTGTGCCTTATTTTTTATTGAAAAATATTATCCGTGCTCAACTTATATAGGTGTGAGTCTTTTGACTCGTTTCATTGACTACTAAATCACACCTTGGGGTCTTCTCCTTCATTAATGGGAAACAAAGTGATAAATAAACAAACGAGTGAATACCCCCTATCAGTTTCTTGTCTAGATGAAGAAATGGTTTCGACATATGTTTGAAACTTTGACATAAGCAGTCCTTAGACCATTCCTATTTGTTGTAGTAAAGAACGAACTAACATGGTGTATGTTATTCATATGACATAAAACTTAGTACAAATAGAAGAGACACGGTGGAGTTAAGGATAAACTAAAAGTTTGGGGACACGCTGTCGAGGGACTCTAATTTACGCGCCTCCAGAATCTTTGACCAGTGGTTTTCATGGCAAAGCTTATGATATATGGTCGCTGGGCTGCACCGTGGTAGAGATGATGACTGGAAGTCACATTTGGATTTATCACAACACTGGAGATTTGCAAGTGCAGATTATGAATGAATACCCTATGATTCGGGGTAATGTTTCTGAGATGGCCAATGATTTTTTACACAAGTGTTTGATAAAGGATCTTCTAAGAAGATGGACCTCGGAACAGCTACTCCAACATCCATTTATTCAGCAAGCTGTATGCTCTCATATGCCTCAAACTTTTGGTTGCCAAATTCCAATTCAAGGATACCATGAAACGAAGAAGATCACTACAAAAACACTTATATTATAGATTAGTAGTAGTATTTTGGAGAACCCAATTTTGTGTAATACTAGTATTTTAGTCCTGGGATAATATGAATATGAAATCAATAGTTTTCAAATATTACACAATGTAATACTTGCTTGTAGTGTACCAAAAAAATAATAATAGTTGTCTCTTCCTTTTAAATGATGTTAACTAGATTTTTATTTTTTTGGTTATTAACTTGAGGTCGTTGTAAGAACCCGTAAACTTCAAATTCTAAATCATCATAATACACTGACAAATGAATAAAGAAACAAAAGAGGGGGGTTGAATAGGGGAGTGGAAATGGCTTCAGAGAATTTTTTAGGTGTTTAAAAGCTAAGATCTAAACATTTGAATTTGGTTGGCAAAATTCTTAAACGAAACTAGATGTCCAAGTGCTTAATATATATCAATCCTGTCAATAGAATGATACACTAGTCATCCCAAGAAATTACCATAGTTAAAGTTGTTCTAACCTGGAATATAGCACCAGAGCCTAATTACGACGTATTTATTAAAATAAATAAAATAAAAACACTCAGGATCTGAGCCTGAGGCTTTGCAGCATATATAGAGTACACTAAATAATATAATACAAGGACTAGTAACTGATCGAATCACTAAACTTAGTCATTTTGATCAACATGACTACAAGTGGACAAATTTAAAAACCAAAATCACTCAGAAACCGAATGGGTGTTTTTTTTATCCAAAATGAAGGTACTATATAGGTAATGTAGTAGTCTAATGATCGAAGGTCAAACTGTGATTACATACAAAAATGACAATGAAACGAATATGTTTGAATGAAGCAAAGATAACTATTAAACCTAGAAAATATGCAACTATATCACGCAAGTCATTACTCAGCCAAACTGATAATGAAGGCATATGTTTAGCTTCCTCTGGAGAAGAATTGTTTTGTTTTGTTGCTACGACACTGAGGTCTTTGAGTCCAAACAGGTGCATCACTTGTTCCCCCGGAAATACATGTACACTTTCTGCAGTGATAGAACAGAAGAAAACGTTCACAAGATGAAAGTAAAGACGGTCGGGTCGGCATACAACATTTTCTTTCCTTTTCCCCCCTCCATATCATTACTACCACAGAGAAGAAAACGTCACAAGATGAAAGTAAAGACGGTCAGATCGGCTTGATTAACTAACACCTCTTTTTTTTATTGGCCTCCTCTCCTCTCCTTACAGTCAAGTGGCTTTCAGCTCCTTTATTAAACCCTTTTCTTTTTCCCCCCTCCATATTATACTACCATAAGGAAGAGGGAATCAAATTGCTTGGTTTTATTCTTTTCCATTTTAAATAATGAGTGTGTCCAGGCCAACTTGCGAAGCACCTTGACTATTCTACTGGGTACATGCTACCTCCTACCCAACACAACACATATACCGGATAACTCTGCCTTTTTAGCCCGATGGAAAGATGTCATCTTCTCTCTCAGCCGGAATTGTCCGATCTTAATATGAGGAATTGAGGATTTATACTAGGACCGTTAACTTCCCTGGGAATCAACTGTCAAGATGGTACCCATTTGAATTCTAAGATAGCTCTTTTCCCCTCAAGTTGTATAGCATTTAAACATTTAGTAGTATAGAACAGCTTGTTATCAGGCATAGAAAAATCTAATCACCTAACACAACTAAATTCAACCTTAGGTTCTGAATAGCCCTACTAAATGATACAACACCCTCACCCCCAAGTGACTTCCAAAATTGACTCTTCGGTTAGTACCTTTACTGTTCAAAAGATGTACATGCTCCAAAAGAAAAACTGCTTGGATGTCCCTATCTGGTTGATAGCCTAGCAAATTGTCTTCCTTCTTTTTGTGATAAAAGGAAAACCTAGCAAATCGTCAAAGGACTGGACATGCATTTTTCTTGATCTATGAGAGAAACCAGATGATACCCTGTCCTCCACCCTCCCCAAAAAAGACTACCCCTCACACAGCAAGCAAGAGCTTAAATATGAATTAATGTACAATTTCTCTTTTTCCCTTGATAGATTTCACTTTTAGGCCACATACACATGAAGCTCAAGCCGCAAGGCAAAGATGAGCAAAACTCTAAAAAGAGGAACAGCAGATACCAGTACACTAGGTATGAACCTGAAATGAAGAAACACAATACAGTAAAAGCCTCACCTGCAGAACCCACAAGCTAAGCAAACCTTCCAAGCAGAAGAAGCCAAATCCAATCAAATAAAATATCTGCAAAAAGAAGAAAAGGACAACACGAGAATATATATTAAGAAGATAAAAGATCAAACAGCCTGATAAGCTAATACAAGCATTAACACTCAATTCTCTTGGGAGTTTCAATTATCCTAAGAAAGCTTTTGATGCGGTAACTCAGTTTAAAAACTAGCTGCAATATGCAATCAGAATATCAAATGAAATTGAGTTATTGTTCAAGAAAATGACTCTGCAAAAAGTTTTTGATCTGCTAAATCAGTTAACAAACTAACTGCAATATGAAATGAGAAAAATAAAATGAAATTTAAGTTTTTGTTCAAGTAAACTGTAAAAGACAGTGCTGAGTGCACAAGCTAAATCAAATTCACTCTGCTAATAATGAGAAACTAAGAGTTTTTCCCCTTCTACCTTTTTAACAATAATACTTGGAAGGGAAGTATCTACTATCAAGCATTATGGTCGTTTGGTAGGGTCTATTAGGTAGAATAATGCTGGTATAAAATTTTAATACAATGTTTGGTTGCAAATCTCACCTATGTACAACTAGTACCAGTATTACTTGTACACCCTATTTAGTACTATTATTAAACATAGTAAACAATGGCATTCAATTTATTGTTTTCAAAGGAATGTGTCAAAGAATTTGTTATTTTTTTTCCTCTCATTAAAATAAGAGTAAATAACTAAACAACTTACCCCAACCAACACATGGTCAGAG